CACACGGAGGCGCTTAGCATCCTCCAGGGTGAGGTTCTCAGGAAGCTTCCTCTTCTCTCCTGCTGAGGAAGATGACAATGTCACCCAGGGGTAGCAGGAACCGTGGAGGGAAGAAAAATGGGGGTGAGAGGTCAGGGTCAAGTACCCACCTGGCATGGGCTCAGCCCCTGTGGAATCTAGGCTCAGGGAGCTGTTGCCGCCCCCACCCATGGTGGGGCTGAAGATGGGGGTGCTGGGGACAACCGCTGCACTGACGGTCGCTGTACGAGGGAAGAAATCAAGGACAGGGAGTGGAGGGCGTGGCGGGGTCTTTAGAAGGATCCAGACTCTTCCAGCTCTATGTGAGCCCCAAGGTGTCTTCCCACTGCTACCACACCCCACCACTCTGTCATCCCGGGGGCAAGGGGCCAGCCAGGGTGACCAAGCAGACCCTGCAGGGCTACTGTACAACACACCTGTCCGGGGCACCAGCTGAGTCCCCTCCGAGGGTGGCATGGTGAAGCCAGACTCCCAGATGGGAGAATTTGCCCCGTAGATCTCCTCCTCGAGCATGGACAGGAACCTGTAGGGAGGGAACAACTGTCCCACGACTCCAGCCTTCAACCAAGAGTAGCCTGGGCCAGACCCCAGAGGGATGAGAGGCCAGCCAGCCAGCCCCTGTTCTCAGTGGGTGGGGGCCTGTGAGAGGAGACAACTTCTGGTGTCTGGGAAGGCCTACTATGTAGGGGGTATCTCAGCTCCCTGCCTGCTGAGGACCTCTAAGAGAAAATAAAAGGACAGGACACAAGCAGGATACAGATTAGAGACCCAGTTTTGTCATGATGTATGACATAGGAGAAGGGGTCTGAGCTGAGGCCACCCTATGCTGTATGGCCAGGCAGGGCACTCAGTCACCTGAATTCCCTTACTCCACCTCTGTATCCAAATGGTTTGAGAATCACCCAATCTTGCCGCCTCTTGCTCTCACATGCTGGTTCCCAGCAAAGGTTTTGGAATAGGGAGCTATGACCCAGATTCAAATGGGAGGGAAGTGAGGCACCACAGAGGTAAATGTACATTGGAAGGCCTAGAACAGAGACGGGAAGTGAGTCCACCGCAAACGTCAACTCTGACCTCTCGGAGCGCTGCGGAGGGAGGGGGTTCTGAGGCTGCATCCAGGTGCCCACAGGAGACTATTAGTAACAATCTACCAGGGGGGTGGGGGCGGGGTAGCGTTAGCTTGGGCCATGTACCTGCCATCCCCAGACTAGCACATACTAGCAAGTAGCTTCTGGGCCATGGGCAAATCTGCCAGGTAGACACCCAGATCCCAGAAGGCCCATGGAGGGAGAGGAGGGACCAATCCAGGAAGCCTTCCTGGAAAAAAGGGGACAACAGCGAGGACATGAATTTGGGGCAGAACCCCGACAGGCCAGACCGAGCCTTACTTGGGGAAGTGAGTGAGGATCAGGGTCCTCTTCTCAGGCACCAGCTTGTCCTTCTCCACTCGGAATTTTTCCAGGAGCTGCCGGCGGGTGACCGTGAAAATGGACCGCAGAAGGCTCCGGCCGAAGACATGGGTGGTCTCATATCGGGGGAGGCTGTCGCAGCTCTGGGGCACGTGGCAGTAACAGAGCCATCTGGGGGAGGCAGAGTGGCAGGTGAGGGTGGAGACCTCCCACGGACCACACAAGCCTCCTCCCCTGTCAGGCCCTGCCTGGGCTCACCTGGTATAATTGACCTTGTAGGTAGCCACATCCTCAGACTGGGACCGCTGCCGGAACTGAGCAGGTGTCTCCAGCTTCCAGTAGTTAAGGCAGAGCAGGAACATCTTGGAGAGCTCAAACATTGTCTGGCGCTCTCGGGGGGCCAGGTGGCTGAATTTGTACTGCACAAAGTTCAGTACACCCTGAGAAAGGGGGGGGCGGTGAGCAGAAGGCGGCATGAACAGCCAGCAGAGGCATCTCAAATACAAGGCAAGGCTTTCCCCTCACTCTGGGAAATCCTGACCCAACTTCCACTCCCATCCTGAGGTCAGCAAACCGAGTCCCTTCTTTGAACCTCTCTCTGTCTCAGCTTGAGGAAGAACAGACTCTCCACCCCCCCCTGCTGCCCCTTCTTAGCTCGGCTGTTACAACCCGTTCTACCTGCTCAATGTTCGGCTTCTCAAATGGGGGGCTGCCTAGGGACCCCTCCACCACTGGTCGAGTCATCTGCAGGATGCATTTCCGCAAGAGCTGTACGGAAGAGGAATAGGGAGAAATCAGGGTAGCAGAGCTCAGACAGCCAGATTGCCAACACACACAAATGCCTCACCACATTTAAGTCTTTCATTCCATGAAGGCTCACCTTGAAAAGGTAGAAATAGACCTGTTTGGTGTCTGTGTCCTCTTCCTTGTGAACAGACATGAAGAGATTTTCTACATCTACTACCATTCCCAAGAGCCGGTTAATCTCATCCTCTGACACATTCTCCAGGTGGGACACATGGTCGGCTGCAAGGGTTGAGGTGAACAGAAGAGAGAGATCCACAGGCCTTGATTCCTGCACCTTCTCCTGAGACACACCTTTGATCCTCCAACCGTTTTTTTTTTTTTTTTTTTTGGTTTTCGGAGACAGGGTTTCTCTGGGTAGCTTTGGCGCCTGTCCTGGATCTCACTCTGTAGCTCAGGCGGGCCTCGGCCTCGAACTCACAGAGATCCGCCTGCGTCTGCCTCTCAAGTGCTAGGATTAAAGGCGTGTGCCACCACCGCCCGGCTGATCCTCCAATTCTTGAAGGACAGGGAAACCCAATGTTCTCAGTTCTCACATCAGCCCTTGGTAGCTCCCTGCTTCTGGGCTGCAGACTTTTTTCCTTCCTTGGGACATACACATTCGCAACCCAATCTTTCTTTAGGAAGTCTCTCTGATTTCCCTAAGAGGCTTTATGGTACTTATGTCACCCTGTCCAAACAGGACCTAGCTCCTGCCCTCCTCCGCCCCCCCCCCTCCAAAGACGCTGCCTGCCTTACCCAACGGGTGCTCACAGCTACGACACAGCTCGCTCAGGTTGGCAGCTGGCTGCTGAAGGTCCATGCGAGGTGCGGTGGGGGGTTTGGGGTTTTTCCAGCCATTACACTTGCAGGTTTCATTGGCCTGGAGGCGGAAGGATCAGTCAGCTGATACTGTACCCCAAGCGGCCGAGAGGCTCCGTAGCTAGAGCTTCGCCCCCATTCCCACCCGAGCCCTAGGATGCCCCAAGCCCCGCCTCTTTCACCCTAGGCCCCGCCCCCACCTTGCAAGCTGAGAAGACCCCTAGTTTCTCAAGCTTCTTGGCACGCGGCAGTCCCCGGACTTGTGCTTTCCTCTGGCTAGCGCGCTGCTGCTGACTCAGGCCAGGTCGAGCCGGATCCCCCCCACTCCCCGGCCCCCCACTTCCTACCCCGGCCCCCCCAGTCCCTGTGCTCCCGGCAGGGGCTGCAGCAGGGGCAGGGGCTGGTGCCGGAGTAGGAGCCGGAGTGGGAGCTGAAGCCGGGCTGGGCGCAGGATTCGGAGTTGGGGCAGGGGCCGGGGACTGAAGGGGCCGGGGCTGCGCAGCCGGGGCCGGGTTTGGGGCCTGGGAAGGTTCCGCCATGGCCTCCCCCGCAGCGGAGCGGCGCCGCGCTCCCAGCCCTAGGGCCGCATGGGCAACCGGCGCACAGTGCGCAGGCGTCGCTGCCCCGGCGCACTATGGGAGTCGTAGTCTTTTCTTGCCGCTCCCCATGCCTTGGCCTTCCAGACTTTTCTGTCCTGTTTCTTGGTTACAGACAGCCAAATGTCGCTCGATTGAGCACCCTAGGTTGACCTCTACTTTATTCTAATCTCTTTAAAGCTATCTGGGATAATGACAATTGCTGTTCCTTTTGGGGACAAGAGGAACCCCGGAACACTGGCAGTTTGGAGGACTTGTGGGCTCTGCCCTTCTAAAATCCATAGGTGGAAGAACAGGCCTGGACCTGGGGCTTGGCTCTCACACTGCCAAAGCCTCCCCAAGAGGCTGCCGATTCAGAATTGCTGTTACAATAGAGATGAAATGTAGCATTGAGTCTACATTTTGTGCTGTGTGGTGTTGACACAGATGAATTAACTTTGACATTCGTTCGGCTTTTTTCTGTACTTAGATTGCTGTTAAACAGAAAGTTTATTTTCAAAAGCACAGCGGCATAATTATGGGCCTTGCTGCTGAGGTTGAGAATGAAACTCAGCTCCAGCCTACAGCAAGGGTGTGTGTGAGAGAGACGGAGACGGGGACAGAGAGAAGAGACTGAAATACTAAGATTGTGTGTAAAGGAGCGAATTAAAGAAACCAGGGACAGTGCGGGCCGACCCCGCAGTTACGGAACACAGGGAAAGGTCCCCGCTTTTGTCCTATGAATAGGTAAATATGGCTCGCCCGGCTTTAAAGCTGAACCAAGATCCCTCATCATCTCCTTCCTCCCTCCCATCCTCATCCTTTCCCTGCCTCCCCGGTAGTGGGTGAGAAAGGAGCCAGAGAAATATCCATTTTCTTCTCCATGTGTTAGTTCAGGACCGTGAAAAAGGTCAGGAGAGACCGTTCTTCCAGGAAGACCTGGAAGGCCCCCTCTTCTGGCTCAGTCCAGGGAACAGTCTTCCTTGCCCCAGGCCTGATTCTTAAGAGGGAAGGGCAAGGCCGGGCCGAGCAGGGCAGGGCAGACCAGACCAGACCAGACCAGACCTTTTTAACCTTGTTGCTCAATCCCATCTGGTGTGGAGGAGTTGAAATCCCGCACATTCAGGTGATCCAGTTCCTTCACAGCCTCCTGCCCACTGACGTAGACCGAGAAGGGCCCACGGAGGAGCATGGTCCCAGACAGAAGCAGCAGTGGGAGACTAGGTCACCAACAACCGGCTGCTTGCGAGGAAGATGGACCAAGCTGACTTGATCTCTGCCAGCGTTTTCCCCTCGGAATGTGAAGTGGGCGGGCCCTTCCTTTACGCACGAGGGGCTTCCCTCGTGCCCTCCAGGGCAGTTGCTCTCTCGGATGCAGCGGGCAGGAAGCAGTTTCTCCAGCCGGCAAGAACCGGGGGAGAGCCGGGTGGCGTCCCGATGTCCCAGCGCAGCGTCCCGATGTCCCAGCTCGACCTCAGCTGAACGAAATCAAGTGGCCACACTACCCGTGCGGCTGCTCAGGGATGATCTGGCTGCAGCGCACGGCACCAGCCGTGCAGATGCAGCTTTCCAGATGAAGATGGACGCCCACGGTTTCGCTCCGGGGGAGCTGATGGTGCAGGTGGACGGCCAGAACCTGACGGTGACCGGTCAGAAGAAACAGCAGTCGAATGACCCGGTCAGGGGCAGTTACCGCATGGAGCAGACAGTGCACCGGCAGATGCAACTCCCACCGAACTTAGATCCTGCAGCTATGACCTGCGGCCTGACACCATCGGGCCATCTGTGGGTCCTGGGACAAAACCGGTCACTATCTCCCCCTGAAGCTCAAACAAGCCAGACCTGGAGACTCAGGGGCCTCGGATCTAAGGGCTCCAAATGATCCTGACCCATTAAACAACCGAGATGTGCAGCAGTCTTGAGTCCATCAACGTTTTTTCTTGGGGATGGCGGGTTGGAGCTGCAGGGTGGAGTTGGGGGAGGGGGGCCGGGGAGGCATCTCAGAGGATAGTTAAGTACACCAATAATCAGGCTTTCGGCCCTGCGATAAACTGGAGGGAAGTGTGAACTAAGCTAACAGCACCGGCTCCAGCAGGGAGCAGCAGAGGGCTGGGATGGCCTGTGCCAATGTTCAGAATCCATGGATGGTCCTGAAGCAGGATGGACAGTGCTGAACCTGTCATGGGGGTGCTGTGGATGACAGAGGTGGTGATGGACTGGAGCACTGGCCTCATGATCAGTCCTCAGTGTTCCTCTTTAGGGACAAAAAGATGGGTGTCATAGTCCTAATGCAGTCCTACCAAAAACTCACACCAAAAACAAACAAACAAAACCCCTCGGAGGTCACTACAGACACCAACAATGTTCAAATACAGGTTGCATATCCTTTAATGTAAGCTGAGGGGAGTCAGCGGTCAGCCCCAGGTCAGTCCTATCCTCCTATATCATCAGAGGTGCCAACAGCAGAGCCTCTGTCTTTTGGTTACCATGACCACCAGCATCCTTTCACACGCAGGAGGCAGAGCCATTTGATCAGACTGGATGATTCCTTTATATTAATTTAGGTTAAAATAGAGAGGATATGTATGGCCTGATAAACTGCCAGAGAAAGACGAGGAAGACAAGTGTGAGGTCGATCGATCGGCTGACTATATTGACAAGATACTGATTGGTTACATGTTGAAGAAAACATACAATACAAAATACAGAAAAAGTTGGTTCCATCCCCTCCCACTCCCCCCCCTTACCCACCCACCCCCAAATACTCATCATCGTGATTTGGTCAGAACAGGGCTCAGAGCCAGAGGTCAGAGTGACCGAGGGTGGAGGGGTCCTGGGCCATGGGTGTGTGGCTGTCACAAATGATGCTTCAGTAATGCTGCGGTTTCTCTCCCGGCTGGGAGTTAGATGGGGAGGGGCTGCAGCCTGATGACAGCCAGCCCAGGGAAGAGCTGCCTGTCCCTTCCCCAGCCCAGGGCCTGCCCACCGCCCTGGGACCAAGACCACTCCTCCCAGCAAGGTAAGATGTGGGTGTTCTTGCCGAGTCTGCTCTCCAGCAAGAAGGAAAAAGGGTAACTGCTCCAACCCTGTCCCACAGGCCAGGGCACAGGAGCGTGGCTGCTACCAGCAAAGGGCAAGTGGGAGAGCAGTAGAAAGGGGACTGGGAAGAGCAGAAGATCAAATATATTAAAAAAGTGACTTAAGACTTAAAATTGAATTAGTATTTGTACAGAAAGGTGCAGGTGGAATAACTCCCTCCGGCCTAGGATCAAAGTTATGCGGAGAATTCATGATGGACCCCTCCCCTGCCCCCAGTGGTGGCCCGAGTCGTTAAGTGCGATTGGTTAGAGTGGATTCCAGTCGGGTCATTCTGGTGGAGGAGTGGGGGCAGCGGCAGGCAGGCAAGGGGGGCTCAGTTGCTGCAGCACTGGCTCCGGCTGGCTGGGCTGCTCTCCTGCAGATCCACACCTCTGTTCCGGCCGGGAGCACCAGCTACATTCTGGGGCTCGTTCTTGGGAAGCTTCTTAGCTGTTGAGAGAAGGGGAAATGCACCTGTGGGGCCACCCCAACATCCTCCCCTAGTCGGTGACACCCAGAATACTGGAGGCTTGTGTGCCGGGTGCACTGTGTGTCTCTGGAAACTGGAGCAGAGGGGTTAAGAACTTGCCCCAAACTAGAGTGACAAGTGGCACAGCCAGGATTTGAATCAGGCAGATGAGCTAAAGTCCTATGGGGGAAGGGATGGCAATGGACAGCTCTGACAAGGACAGGGAGTACAACACTGAAACTTTGGCCCAAGTTTTAGAAAGTTCTGCCCCTGGCAGTCAGCTAGACAACAGTTTTATCACATAGTTTAAAATGGTGAAAATTCTGTTAGTGAAGGCACCCCACAGACCCACCAGAGACCAGCACACAGGGTTCCACTCTGCTGGGGAGAAGAATGGGGAGAGGTAATTTACCTATTGCCATGAAAATTTCATTCACGTTCATCGCAGTCTTCGCTGACGTCTCCATGAACAGCAAACTGTTGTCATCTGCATAGGCTTGTGCTTCCTGATTCAGGAAATCGAGGAAGAGGGTGGGAGGTGAATGTTGGCAGATGGTAGAGGCTAGGGCCCAGGATAAAATCTTCCCTGGTCTCAGGCCTTATAAAACAGACACTGACTGGGCAAATACAGGGGTTTCAGGCTTAGAGCTCCCCTGTTCTGGGTTCCCCCAAAATACCAGCATCACTTAGCCCCCACTCACACGCTATACCTCCCAGTTCACAAATACTGGCAGATTCTTACTCAGCTTCCCTAGATCCACTCTGCCCACTTGCTCTTCACTCACTAGGCAAGACATTCTTCTAGAAAAATACCCTACGAATACACCTGCACATCTGGACCAAGGCATGAGAGCACAGGGATGCGGCCTGCAGCACAAGCCCTCAACTGTTACAAATGACCTAGGAGGTCATCAGCTAGGTAAAGAATGAGCTGGAGAGTGCTGGAGAGGTGACTCACCACTGTAATCTCAGCACTTGGGAGGTGGGAGAATGAGGGTCAGGAGTTCAAGGCCAGCAGCCTAGGCTACATGAGATATTTTCCTTCCCTCCCCCCTCTCACACACACAAACACAGGACACTGTGACATACAGTCATAGCACACTTCCATCTGTATAGAGAAAAGGATTCATAAATGTGTACATTTTTGGTAAGACAAAAAACTGGGAATTCTGAGTAAGAGATGCTGAGTTTCTAGGATTAAAGAGACTAAACTCATTTTCTATACCTTCCTGGACTATTTAAATTTACTACATGTGGCTGGGCGGTGGTGGCACACACCTTTCATCACAGCACTCGGGAGGCAGAGGCAGGCGGATCTCTGTGAGTTCGAGGCCAGCCTGGGCTACAGAGTGAGTTCCAGGACAGCTAGGACTGTTACACAGAGAAACCCTGTCCTGGAGGGGGTTAAAAAAAAAAAAAAAAAAAAAAAAAAGTACAAAAGAATGTTTCTACATGCATGCATTGCCTAAAAAAAGTACTTCTTGGGCTGGAGAGATGGCTCAGTGGTTGAGCACTGGCTGTTCTTCCAGAGGACCCAGATTCAATTTCCAGCACCCACATGGCAGGCAGCTCACAGTTGTCTATAACTCCAGTTCCAGGGAATCTGACACCCTCACACAATGCCCATAAAATAAAGTTAAAAAAAAAAAAAAAAAAAGTACTTCTGGTTCAGTCCATTCAATGTATAAGGCAAAATGTGCAGAAGCATCACCTACCCCCCACCCCCACCCCCAAAAGACCACTGCAAAGACAGTTCTTTTGTGGCCATGCTTAAGTCATGAGAGGGCAGCAGAAAGCTGCTGCTGCTGCCGCCTGCCATCTTACAGGACCTGAGTGGCCTGTGGAGGCCTCCCTCCCAGAGCCAGCTCACCCTTCCCCTCAAGTTCTATCATCTCCTCACCTGAAACTCCACGGCTCTCTTGCTGGCCAGGTCTGCCTTGTTACCTGCCAGTGCGATGACGATGTTGGGGCTGGCCTGCCTCTGTAACTCCTTCACCCAGTTCTTAGCCCGTGCAAATGTATCCTGAGGAGACAGGGTCAAAGTGTCAAAGGGACAGGAGACACTCTACTCTGGGCCACTCACTAGCAAATGAAAACTGGCAGTCAAAGACATCTGATAAGCCATCTAAAGATTCTAGTGAGAGCCAGGCAGCGGTGGCCATGCCTTTAATGCCAGCACTCAGGAGGCAGAGCCAGGTGGATCTCTGTGAGTTCGAGGCCAGCCTGGTCTACAGAGTGAGTTCCAGGACAGGTACCAAAAATACACAGAGAAACCCTGTCTCGAAAAAAAAAAAAAAAAAACAGATTCTCATGAGAGCATCCCGATGAACAGGAAATCTGCCCATATCCCAGTCGGGAATAGAAGCCTGAGAGGGAGGCCTGAAATGTGGCTTTTATAATCCAATTCTTGGGGCTTTACAGAAATGAAGGGCAAGGAGTAAAGGAAGGAAAATCTTTACTGTGTTGGTGATGTCATAGACCACGATGGCTGCCTGGGCCCCCCGATAGTACATGGGGGCCAGGCTGTGGTATCGCTCCTGTCCAGCTGTGTCCCAGATCTCAAACTTGACCGTGGTGTCGTCTAAGCAGACAGTCTGTGTGAGGAAAGCCGCTGTAAGAAAAAGGTGGTGTCATTAGGCAAGGAGGAACTGGAAACCACCTGCCTTATTTTCTGTTGCTGGTTCTGGCATGTAGAAGCCTGTCCACACTGGGCAGGTGAGGCCTGCGCTCCTGTGTTCTGTCAGGGAAGTGCCTGCACTGAGCCATTTGAGAGCCGTCCTACAAAGCACAGCAAGGGCCAGATAAGGAAGGCCCAGGGGAACCCTGAGGCCAAGCCCCAAAGGGTGAAACCCCCTGGCCTTCCTTCCACTGTCCTTCACAGACCCACTTCAGCTCAAGGGTGACTGTGACCTTCAGTTTCAGGAAGGCATGCTCACTGGGAAACAGACACTGTCACATTGCCAGGCTGCGGCTGGATGACTGGCTTTCCAACTATCCCTGCCACCTCCAGGCACTCCAGCTAGCCAGGTGGCACTCTAGGTGGCACCATCCCTGCAGTGACCCAGAATCATTCCTGTATGGCCAGCCTGTGGTTTGAATACAGACTCTACTGGAGATGGGAACACAGGGCACTGGAGCAAATATGCTTTGAAGGAGAATCCTGGAGCGGGGACAGACAGGTAGGGTTCCCCACACCCCGGACCCAGCAGAGGACTACGACGGCTCTGTGAGAAGCCTGGGCTGCCACCTCACTTCCCCCTCTACAGCTCCTGATGGTGCTGAGGAGGCAGAGAGGAGACTGCTGACATGGCCCATTCTGTTTCCAGCTGCCTGGAAACCTCCTACCAACCAAGAGAGGAGAGAGAGAC